TCAGCGCCATGATACCAAAAACCTTCAGCTTTTGCTGGGGATGTTTCATGTGACAATACGTATTAATCATTAAGAAAATGGGATGGTGGTTGTAGAGGGACAGGAAAAATAGATACATATCTTCTGTCCTGGTGCTTTTCTTTCTATTTTCTTTGCAGCCTTGAAAAATGAATGGAAGTGATAGTTATGGGATATACTGGTGTGGTATTGCATGGACTATGAAGAATAGACTCAAGTGGCAGAGCTGAAATTTGGCATCTTCTAAAATAATTGCCACTTTAACATGAACTTGGCAGTTAATTGCCATTGAGCTGTAGAAACTTGATGGTAACTGATACGCCAAAGGGCATCCATGATTGTTAAGCATAAATCTGGGACGTACCCCCCTTCTGCCTTGCAGAATCTCTAGCCTTTCTTTTGCTTCTTTTTTTCTTGCTCCACACGTATCTAGAGCCCTGATGTGCCCCTCTGGCCAGCCCACCTGACCTAACCCTAGGTTGCATTTCTGCTTTAAAATATTTTGTCCCTTTTCCTGGCCCCAGTAAAAATATCCTTTCCCTTAGTCAACCTGGTGTTGATCTGATTTTGATAACCCAAGTGAAGGATGCTTAACTTTGGGATGGGTATAGGAAAGTGTTTACTTTTTCAGAGTATCTTGTTACCATACTCAGTGATGTAAAGATATTTTGTGTGTTTTTTCTAAGCACTGCTATATTCGCCTCATTAAGAATATTTCTTTCTGCCAACCTCCAATCAGCCAGAAGACCACGTGCGTGAAGCCAGTATGGTAGCCATCCTCCATTAATTCACTGCCCCGCCTCTGTAAAGTGGCCTTGGTAATGAGGAGAATAATGGCATTGCTTAGGTTAAGAATTGGGTTGTTCTAGTCATCTGCAAATAACCAAAATAGAATTCCTTAAGATAAGATGATGCCTTTTTATTGNAAAAAAACAGATTTTTTTTTCTAGGTCCCAGACAGTTCTCTTTCTTTTGCTGCTGAAAAGATGGCTTTTATCCCAGAAATTGGACTATTATCATGAAGATGCCTTCTTACCAACAGATTTATAGCTTATCTTTAAAATTAGAAGTTTATTTTTGTTTCTAAGTTGAGTTACCCTTTAATTATTTGGGATGAAATATAGTCATCAGATGTATAAATTCCTTAAAACACTCAATATTTGAATTGATTTGGCATATATCCAGTTTTCCTAGGTTTGGTTTTCCTTTTAAAGTCCTGCCTTTAATAGAAGCTCAAATTCTTTTAGAAAATCTAATGGAATCACCTCTTAAATATGTGTAGTACGTGATCCATACAGTTTCCAGTACTGTTTGAAATTGGCTCTTTAAATAACCAATCTGTTTCTAGTTCACATTTTATAGATGAGTCAACAATTGAACATTAGTATAATTTGCTCTTTAAAAAAGTTTGTTCTGAAATAGGTTATACTTAGTAGGTTCCAAATCAGTATTTACTGAACAAAAGAATTTAATATAATTATTAATCCAGGTATTTGTGAAGCTAGGGATCAAGGTTCTAAATTTCTTTTTTGGTTTATTTCTCCTTATTTCCTCTATTCAGATTTTAAACATTAAAAATAACTATTTTCCATATTGTAAAAGACACTTTAAATTCACCAAAAATCACATTATATTTCTATTCCCTTTTAAACAACTAAATCATATGGCAAATTACTACTGAATTTTAACCTCAGTTTTTTCATCTCTCTAAAATCAGTAAAATACATTTAAATATACCCTTACTATAAAAAACACTACGCATTCCATTTCTTACAAGACGTGCATTCTGGTCCTGATCCTAACTTTGTCACTAGCTATGTGACCTTGTATAAATTACTAAACTTCTGAGAGCATTCATTTCCTCATTTCTAAAATTAGAGTCTTCCAATAGATGCATTTCTAGTTTCTTTCCTTTTTTCTTTTTAACTCTGTGATAGTTTCTATTTGTACATTTTTAATACTTCTTTAGTCTAGGTCTTTCTTTGTTTTCAGAAGCATTTCTAATAGCTCACCCTCTAGAATACACTTTCATGGCCTCTTTGACCTTCCTTAATAAAATCAATATACTGACCAACATAGGCCAGGGTATGCTACAGTAACAACTTCTCTTACCTCAGTGGATTAAAGTAACAAAGCTTATCTTGTGTCTGTACTACCTGTCTGCCTGTAGTATGCGGTCCGGGAACTTTGTTCTGTGCTGTCCTCATTCTAGGGCCAAGGCCTTCAAAGTACCCACCACCTGGACCTTTGCAGATGCTGTAGCAGAGGTGAGAGAGAGAGTAGCTATATTGTACACTGTCTTTGAGAGCTTCCACCCAGAAGTAAACACATGTCACTTTTGTTCATATGTCATTGGCCAAAGCAGGTCGCATGACCACACCTAATTTCAAGGGTACAGGAAGTGCTATCTCACAGTGTGGCCTGTATGTGGGAAGACACAGGAATATTTGGTGCACAGCGCTTATGATTACTCATCATGTTTTAAATACAATGTTGATTTCTGGTAGTAGTATAAATTAGTACTACATTAATGGAAGGCAATTTGCAAACATCAGAAGCCCTAGAAATATGTCTATCATTTGAGTTAGCAGTTACAGTTTTAGGTAATTTTTGAAAAAAATATATAAAGATGTATATTCAGTGATTCATTCCTTAAATATGTATTTATTAAATATCAATTATGTCCCTGGAGCTGACATGGTTCTTACCTTCATGGGACTATTTGGGGTGGGAGAGGGGAGAGATAGTGCCACAGATAATTCAAATGAAACAGGGGACATACAGGGCGCTATGAAAGCATATAGGAAAATTTCCAGACTTATTTTCTAGTTGACTGATTCTCTCTTTCGCTGTGTAAAATTTACTCTTCAACCTCCCTCCACTGAATTTTTAATTTCAGTTTTTGTAATTTTTCATTTCTAAAAGTTCTCCTTCAAATGTACTAAATTCCTTTTTATAGTTGCCTATCTCTGAAGATATTTTAAAGCTTGTCTTTTATGAAGAAATTGGTTTCTCAAATTGTGACATCATTTTGAATGCCTAAAAAACTTTTCATAATAAAAATTAAAAGTTACATGGTTATAATTTACTCTGTTAAAGTTTAACAATCTTAAGGGGAAAAAGCATGATCAAGATTGTGTATACAGATTGCAACTTGTAAAAATTTGCTCATAGTGAATATTGTAAGGTGATACAGAAATGATAAGATTTGAGTTATGGTGTTGCGATTATGACTGATTATTTAAAATTTTTCTAAACTATAATGTTCTTTCATAGGTTTTAGAATTTAAGAAATTAGATTGGCCAAAACAATTCAAAAGCAAAGTAAAACTAATGATGTTAATGGACACTAATTGATATCAGTGGAGAGTTTTAAAAGATTTTCACTCTTGTTTCATCATATAAAAATGCTCTGATTTGCAACCATAGATGAAATCAAAATTGTGACAAGTATCATGTTGATCCTTTTTATCTTCCTGATAGAAAGTTTAAGTCTTTCTATGTGGAATTGTTGTGCATGATGTACTGAGGTAAATTATACAAACCTGCTCCCCTCACTGTTTTTCCTCTCTTGTATTAACTAGATTTAGCTCACATCCAGAGTTGGGACTAGAATTAAGAATGCAGGTTTTTTTAGAATTATTAATAGTAAGGAAGAAGAAAATAAAGAACACACTGTTTTTCTTCAAGGGTATATTTTCTATTAGCTAAGTAGCATGCCTCTCACAAAGAAAAACAAACTTGCAAAACCAAAGATATTAAGCATAGAAAAGCCCAACTACTTAATAATATATATATTTTAATTTCCTTTAGGAAGAAGAAAGGCGTATGGCATCTGTTGTAGCCAAAAAAGAGGAAGAGAAGAAGCGGGAAAGTCATAAACAATCTTTGCTTAAGGTATTTTGTCTGATGTCTGTATGCGTGTGTGTGTGTTCCCACACTCATGTACATTGAAGCTAGCTAGTTCACTAGAAAAGTGGTTTCCAAACTGTAAAATTTTCATTCCTATCCACAGAATGATTTTTATAAACAAACACCCCTAAAACTTATAAGTTACTACCTATAAATAAACTTGTACTTCTGAAATATAATGTATATGATAAAACACATGCAAAAGCTACAAACTTTAAAAGGAAGAGATAAAAAATAAATATAACGGGTTATCATTTTTTCCCACAACATTGTATCATCTGTGTATCCTCATGGCATATGCACTTCATTTTGGAGACCACTGTTATAAACTGTCACCTTTACCGATATATTTTAATGAACTCTGCTACATGTTTTTTTTTTTAATGATAGACTTTTAAATTTAAGAACTTCCTCTGTTAGCTTCTCTGATATAGAGGTGGTAAAGATTTTGAGGAATTTGGAAATTAAAATTTATTTTCAACTGGTTTTAAGTGATTTAACATAGCAGATATTTCTTTCCATAAATAAAATGTTTTCTTTTAAAATGTTTTATATTAACATCACAAAGTACAGTAAATCAAGATGGCTTAAAGTTTATAGCTCATTTATGCTTCATACTGTGTTCTAAAACTAAGGATGTCATCCTGATGATCATTACACTTGTCTTATGTAGGTCCTTTTCTTTTTAAAGTTAAAATGGCATTTAGAATTCAAAAAATGACTAGTAGAGATACAAAGTTGTATATAATAAACTTAGGAAACAAGGGAACTTAACTGGGATGATAGAGATGTGGTATATCATGATAAGGGTATGGGTTACACAGGTACGTGCATTTGTAAAACTAATCAAAGAATACATGTATATATCTGTGTATTTTAGTCAGTGAAAACTACTACTAAAGAACAAAAAAGAAAAACTTGGTCCCAAGCCATCTCAGCTCAGGACTTCTACCATAAAAGTAACTGATACTGAGTTTGCTACATTTTCTCCACCTGCTATTAGCTCTAACCTCCTGACTCCTCCCCAACTTGTATCTGTTTTCCCTCATCCCATTTATTAGATATGCCTAAGCCCCCTCTTGACATGTCTACCTTTTTATTGATTTAGCCAGTAGGATTTTAGTCTTTCTTATACTAGAATATCCCCAAGGGTTGGCTCAAAACACCTTGGTTTATAGGAAATATAAGGGGAGGTATTTTTTTTTAATGTATAGGAGCAAGATTTATCATGCTAGATAATACTGTCGGCAAACTTTCTGATTGGTTCATTTAGAAAAAGTAATATTTCCTATCATGTTGCTGCTGCTGTCAGATGCATAAGTGAGTGAATGAATACATGAATAAAATACATGCATACATACGTACATATATACATAGACACATAGACTAAAGCTCTCAGACCTAAAGAACACTAGTATGAGCCCT